ACACATTGAAAACGGGTGGATCAGCCCATTCCACCCGAATATATCGTAAGACATACAAATGTATATTTATGGGGAAAAAACCTGTGCTTTTCATTGACACCACTTGCGTGATCAATGAAATGGGTGAAATTAATAATATTGTGACGTACTTATACTTTCTAACATAAAATTAAGGATTACAAATTAATTCCAATATTTATTTTAATTTCCTTTTTTATTTTACTTTGTTTATTGTTTACTCGTATATTTTCTATAATTATACTAGCATGTTTCATTTTAAATTCATCATTATTATTGAGCACGTAGGATATTGAAATCATGCCCCCAACCCCCCCCCCTCCCCCCCCCCCCCAAAAAAAAAAAATTAAAGACCTGGCTCATATTGTACTCTGAACATAAAGCTTTAAATTCAAATCTGTAAAAGTTTTGGATCCTTCCCTAATCACTTCTGACATCATTTGTCTCGGTATCACTGTCACGGGTAATATAAAGATTAGCGTTAATTGCGCTTTGATTGAATTCAGTCTAAATTTAAATCGGAGAAAATCCACAGAATTTTTTGTCGTGGATGTTATTAATCAAGCGCGGGTTGAGTTAGTGGTAGTGTGTATGTACGGCACAGGTACAGTCGCAGATGGTGTATATCAGGCACAGGTATACAGTCATAGATATACAAAATTTAGGCATAGTCAAGTTTACATATATTTTCCGCGATATATTCACTAAGCCAGTTATCGTTACCGTTTTGGCGATTACAGCCTTCCATAAAATAGATTTATTTAAAATCAGAAATTTTCTTTCTTTATTCTAACACATTTCGTATTTTTCATTAAAAAACAATCCATACATAATTAACAACATATAGTTTAATATGTAGAACAATCCGGGAAATCTTGCTCTGACATTCCGTTTTTGATATTAGTGAGCAGGTACAGTCATGGATGTCCGGTACCAGCACTGCCGAGTACAGTTGCGGATGTTAGCTGACAGACCCCACTCGTCGTGTCCCTTCTATTTTCCTCGCGTATCTCGCGAGATTTTGTCTGCGGTTGCGCACACCGTGAGAAAAATTTTACTACGATCGATTACGTCATATTTACAACTGCAGACGACAATGAGGTCAAAACAGGTAAAAAAAATTAGTATGAAACAAAATTTTAGCTGATTTACTGTCAAATCCATTATTACCAAATAAGTATGACAATAAAGTCCATTTTTTTTAAAATTACGACCTATATTGACTGTGTCAGTGCTACTGTACGCTTTGTTTACATTATATCAATTGAAGTCACATGACTACATTGGAATTTGATAGGCCAAACAAAGTTAATTTTTCCATTCAAGTTGTATTGTTCCTTAGACATTTTTTTTCGACGATGGATTTGTTTGTTTGCTATTGTAGAAAAGTCCCAAGCCTCACAAAAGAAATTATAGACTTTATTCTCCAACACAAATGACAAATGCATATCAAATGGTTAAAGAAAAGAAAATGTCAGTTAGAAAAGCTTCAAAAATTTTTCGGGTGCCAGATACAACACTAAGGGACAGGGTTCTGCTAAAAGTTGACCCAGAAACTGCTGTTTTTGGTAAAACTCCAGTTCTAGACAACCTTGAAGAGGCCAATCTAGTCAATCATTTTAAAACAATGGCATCCTTTGGTTATGGGTATACCAGACAGGAATGCATAAATATTGCAACAGATTACGCATTTTTTGTGGGTAAGAGGACCCCTGACAAGCCATTTTCTATGAAGTGGATGAGATGTTTTTTAAAGCGATGGCCTGAACTTAAAGTTTTGAAGCCACGAGGGTTAGAGCACGTAAGAGCAAAGATGGCTTCAAGTGAAACTGTGTCCAAATACTTTGAAAATCTTTGCAACACTCTCTCTAAACATGATCTGTATGGAAAGCCTCATCTCATTTTCAATGTTGACGAAAAGGGTATTTCTGTTGACCACAAACCACCAGCCGTGGTCGGAGATTCTGCTTACTGTCCCCAGTCAGTAACATCAGGTCGTGGAAAGACCATCACTATTCTCGGTGGAGGCAGTGCAAGTGGTGTCTCTATACCACCTTTTTTCGTCTTTCCTGGCAAACGGATGATGCCAGAGCTGTTGAGTGGAGCATCCCCTGGGGCTAGTGGCACAGTAAGCGAAACTGGGTGGTCAAACGGTCTAATCTTCCGACACTATCTGGAACACCACTTCCTGAAGTTTGTTCCACGAGATGAAGGACAGATCTTACTCCTTTTGGATGGACACAAGTCCCATGTGTCAGTGGAACTGGTAGAGTGGGCAAGTCAGAAGGGGATAATCATCTTTATTCTTCCAGCCCATACAAGCCATGTCTTGCAGCCAATGGATGTTGCCTGCTACGGACCATTTCAAAACATTTATAATAATCAGTGTCACAAGTTAATAAGGGAAACAGCAGCAACAATTACCAGGTATAACATTTGTGAAGTCGCATGCAAGGCATATACAAAAGCACTGTCTCCTGAAAACATCCAGTCAGGATTTCGTCGCACTGGCATTTACCCCCTTTGCAAAGATGCGGTTCCTTCGAGGTATTTGGTACCAGCAGAAGTTTTCAAGGGCCTGGCCACTGATATTAGAAATGAAAGCCAAGAGAATGAAAGAGGATTTGAGCAAAAAAAGGAAGAAAATGTAGAAAATTATGTGGTAAAGTTACAACAGAAAGAAAACCATCTGAAGGAAAAAAAGAGTGCTGGAGAAATGAAAGTGAGGAAAACAATGAGCAAGATTGTTTCAGGGAGAGAAATCTCAGAAAGCGTGTATCAGCGAATGAAAGATCATGCAAATAGTCAAAGGAAACAAGAGAAAGACATAGGGAGTAAGAAGCATCAGAGGACAAGTTTAAAGAAAAATGCACATCTTGATGACATACCTGGCCCATCAACAATGAATCTGACTGTCTCAGAGGATCTCCAAAACAGTTCAGACTCTGACAGTGATGTTGAGATGGATCCTTCTAAACTTTGCTGCATTTGCAAGAAGTTCCAGCCAGATGAGCTGAAGAGATGCATTTCCCTTGTATTTGTGAAGTGGGCGCAATGTGACAAGTGCAGTCATTGGGTTCACTTGATTTATTGTTCTCCAATACGTGTTGTGCGAAGGAATGATCAATTCTTTTGCCCACATTGTAATGCAGAGTAACATATTACTACTGTTGCTGCTGTTTATTGAATTTGACAGTGTTAAATTCAACTTAGTTATATAAGTTTTTAATTGTTAAACTGAAAAAAATTAATTCATTGTAAAGATTGTAATAATTTGTCTTTAAAAAGTGTTGACACACAATTAACTTTCAGTTGAAAAATGAAAAACGCATATATTCATTCTCTTGGCCTTTTTACTTCAATTTCCGCTGACGTCACGACCCTAGGACCTGCTTTTCAAAATGTCGCCGGGTAAACATCGGTAACTTAAACGAGATGAAAACAATCAATAAGGCGTGATTTTTTTTTATTTGACCACTTTACTGCAAAGAAAAGAACATGTTTAATTAAGGTATGATTTACGAAATGAAACAGCATTTCAAATTTATTTACAAACAGTCCCGATCAAATTATGGTAACGACTCATGGACCTCCGAGGATATATACAAGGTGTGACCTTAGTAAGCATACTTAGCAAAAAAAAAAATTGGTTTCCAAAAAAAGAATACTCAAAACAATTATATTAGACTTGAAAATTGATACATAGGCCAGAAATTGGAAATAAAAAATAAACGAGATTAGGAGTATGAGAATATCTTTAAAATTCATTTATTGACAAAAACCACATGTGGCACAAGTCATACGTACAATATACAAATATTAAGTCACATAGATTTTCTTATGTTAAATGCATCGCGTATGAAGTTACAAATATGTCTTGTTGATTTAGTATCTGCTGGATTAAGAATTTTATAAGATATAAATTTATGGTTAAAAAGTGTACAATATTCACTTCGCAGTTGTTTACAAAGTGGACATAATAATAACATCAGTTTAACATCTAATACAATATCTTTCATCCCTTGGAATAATTGGATTACAATATCTGCCAACCGCTGTTTGTAATTTGTCGGCGCCTAGAACTTCTTAATTAAGTCAAAAAAGAATGAAGCTTTTTGGAAATGAAAAAAATTAAATGTGGCTGAATTTCCAGTTTGTTTAAATATTGTGAACTTATTACTTGGCTGTAGAATGACAATTTTCCACTATACCCTTCTCTTTGTTATCTTCAATGTCTCTGAAAACTATATTCTCGAATTACTTTCTCAAATTATTTTCAAAATCAATTATATAGATACTTTATTAGCGTTTGAACCAGTAACAGCCTATTCTGAATAGTCGCTGACGTTGTCAATGTTCACCTCGGCTGCAATGTCAATTCTTACTAATCAAAGGAAATGCGTTCATGACAAATCCTCAGATCTTATTTTCATGATTAAAAAAATCTCTTAGACTTGTGGTCTTAGGAGAATTGGCCTAATGGATCTAGATATGAATTCACTCACAATAATAAGCCTATGATTCTTTTTAATGAGAAACTACATCTAGACCATTGGCAGCAACAGTGTATTTATCAAGAAGTAGTGACAACAAAGGTTTATCCTGAACACAATATGATTTCAACATTTATTGTGAGAACAATGAAATACAATGAAACATACATCATACAATGAAATTTCTAAATTCGCCATAGGCAAGATTTAATTCATTACAATAAAGTGGTGCAAATAAGCACCAGGTAACGACATGCAACAGACAATAAATATCTTAATCTTACATGTTGAAAACAGTTTCTCGAAGTAATATGCTAGTTCTCGCATATCGAAAATTTCTAATGTGTGATACATGTGAAAACTTTCATAACGCGTACGTGCAACAATTATATCGGATTAAAATCCGATATAAAATAATTATGAGAAAATGAGAGATCAGAGATGATGTTCAGATAAAAAAAAAAAAAAGCTTACAACAAACGTAATGACTCAAAATGTCTTAATCATGTGCCAGATAGCTTTCCATTCTCGCCTTAGTTTTTCCATATTAAATGCATATATAAAAGGGTTAACAACGGAGTTGAAGCAGGAAAGTGTAGCGACAATAAAGAGCTGTCTCTGTGTTAGAGATTCAAAGAAAGAAGCAATAACCATAGGTCCAGTACACAATAAAAGCGCAGCAATGATAATTCCAATAAGCTTCATAGATCCAAACAATTTCTGATTCATTTTTTTAGTCAGCTGATCGCCTCCTGAGTTCGATGTGGTTCCGACTTGGTTGGAAATATTTGACACCGTTGTACTTTGATGAGCATGCCAAGCGAAAGTTCTTCTGTATCGTTGACGCATTCGACAAATCGTTAAACAGTAAAATAAAATTGTTAATGACAACAGTGATATTGTTGTACTCTGAAAATAAATTGCCATGATGGGGTAACGATTGCCAAATACACACTTAAACTTGCAAAATGGTAATTTTTCTGCCACGTGACGTATTTGAACCATAGATAGATTAAAACCAAGAACAACCAACCAGAAAAGAATGTAAACTACATACTTCCGATTGTTCTGCAGTAATTTTTTATCCAAGTCTGTTGTCGATATCTTCAAGAAACGATGAAAACTGATGAGAAAAGTTTGGCAAAACGAAAGTGTGATACCACTGATAAACAGTACACTAGTCATGACGCACGGTACGTAATAGGTAGCCCACTGTGGAGTAAACAGTCGGATTCCACCAACACACATACTCAATCCAAGAACAAGATCACTGTGGGACAGACAAAGGACCAAATTGAGGTGTGTGTTTTGCCGGAGTTCTTTGCTGACGATAAGAGTTATGAAGACTAGGGTGTTCAGGATGAAGGCAGTCCCTCCGATTAGAAAGCCTACAAGGGCTGATATCAAATTTCTCTCATCCTCCTCTGTCCCTTGATTGCTTTCATTCCAAGACTTCATTGTTTCATTGATTGTGTAATCAAGGCAAGCAGACATCCTTTATTCGGAAAAAACAACATTTTTTCAAATAAATAAATAAATTATATATATATATATATATATATATATATATATATATATATATATATATATATATATATATATATATATATATATATATATATATATATATATATATCTTACTTATTGCATAATATGTCTTGACAAATTAAAAGTCTAATAAAATTTCTTAAAGAATATTCTTTACATACCCTGCTAACTCGAAGACTAATATTGCACACCCCTGGTAGGATAACGACTAAGATACTCAGGTGTAGTTCTGTTAATTGAATTTTCGATGCGAGGGAACATTTTATATACTCTTGTGAATGTAATACAATACCCGTTCACAGTATCTATTGTTAAAATCCATTGATTTTAATAACACGATACTAATAACGGTCTTTATTTCTGCATTCATTATTCACATCTAGCACATGAAGCAGAATTTGTCCAAAATCTTGTACGTGAAAAGAAGAAAACACTTGCTGTGGCGTTCAACTCGACATTTAGATACATCGACGACGTATTGTCAATTAACAATGGCTATTTTCATTCTTATGTCGATACGATATATCCTGGTGAACTTGAGATAAAAGATACCACAGAGTCTGACACATCTGTTTCATATTTGGATATTTTACTTGAAAAAGACGTTAATGGTAATCTAACAACCAAGCTTTATGATAAACGTGATGACTTTAACTTTTCAATCGTCAACTTCCCTTACTTATGCAGCAATATACCTTCATCACCTGCATACGGGGTATATATCTCTCAGTTGATTCGATACGCAAGAGCATGCTCTACGTATGTACAATTTCTAAAACGAGGTAAATTATTGACAAATAAGTTGATGAAACAAGAATATCAGCTGTCTCGTTTAAAGTCATCATTTCGTAAGTTCTATGGTCGATACAATGACCTTGTCAGCAAATACAATTTATCATTGAGTCAAATGGTGACTGACGTTTTTCATACTTATTGTTAGGCCATTATTTACACACTGAATTGTCGACGGATTTTTCCGTTATTTCCCGATCATGACAAGGAGCACACGGCGGGTGTGAACGGTCGGCAGGGGATGCTCACTCCTCCATGGCACCTGATCCCACCTCTGATGTTTGGAGGTCCGTGTTTGCTCTGCTCCTATTTTGTATTGTATAATGGACTTTTGAGCTTGAATACTGTTCGTTATCTCCATATATTTCATCTATCTATTCCTAGTTCCTACACATTGACTTTTAACCACTATTAAGAGGAAGGAATGTCTTTTTCATAATATTAGTACTGTTTTCTTCTCCAATCCACCGGACCAATAGTCAACCAAAGATGCAAGGCACAAAGCATCTTTGATAAGAGGATGATTAAATTCCTCGTTTCAAAATTGTGCCTTATTAAATAAGTGAACTTCTGTGAGCTCTTTGTTACATTGTATCAGAAACCTTTACCATTAAATTAATCCAATTCCAAAGCATTTTATATGAATGAAGCAGAGTGAATCTTTTCCCAAGAACAGCTGGGCTTTAACATGTCAAACTGATTTTCCAACGTGTTCAAATAATGCTACATAGATCACCCAAACCCATGAAGAAGTTGAACACTGAAATATTTCTTTATAGAAAATTTACCTGACGGTAAAGGACGTGTTATGAAATTTAATATTTAATTCGTGGCCACGAAATAAAATTCGCCAGAACTAAATAAACACTCTTGGCAACGATATTTTTCTAGTATAAAGTGTGTTTGTAAAGAAAAATAATACGAAACGGTTTCAGCATTGTCTTTCCAACTTTGTGTGTTTTACAGCAGTCAAAATAGCATATACCGTAAAAACAAATTGCAACAACAAAGATGTTTTCCTTAATGCATTATACATAATATGTATATATCAACATACAGAACTTTTGAATTTTAACAAGGCAAAAAGGTTTTTGATTGATATAAATATAAACAAATCTGTTAAAAATCGTATGCATAAAATCATATTAAAGTCATTTTAACAGCTTTTTAACCACTGTGAACAAACAAAGTTCTGTACTAAGCAATTATAATTCATTATAAACATTCTTGAAATAGTATTTAATGAATACACATTTCACTTCAAATACTAAAACTTTGTAACTTTAAGCTATTTCATTGAATTCAACACCATATCAATGAATCATTCTCTATGGAACGCCATGGCTGCCTTATGTGGTTATTTCATGAGAAGATGGTGCTTTATTATGTTATGCTGTGGTTATTTTATGTGAAGATGGTGCTTTATTATGTTATGCTGTGGTTATTTCATGTGAAGATGGTGCTTTATTATGTTATGCTGTGGTTATTTCATGATTTACTGACATACTAAATTTAGGTAAAAGCAAGGTTTTTACTACTGTTATACGACCTGCCGTTGATAAATGTCTTCTAGACCATGATGATATAAGCTTTTTGACAGAGTCAATCTTTGGCAAAAATTCAAATCAAACATAGTGTTTGTGTCTAGATCTACACAGTATGCTATACCTAACACTGTAAATGGTTCCTGTGACCACATCAAGTTTTGATATTTATCACACAAGTTATCATCAGTATGAACAGTATATCCAATCCTAATACATTGAGTTTTATCATAATTTGGCTTCAGTCCAGAGAATTTGGAATACTGATTGACTAAAGACAAAGCTGATCTAATTGAGTCCTCTGAACCATCCATTAATAAAACTGTATCATCAGCATATTGTAGTAGTTTATATTCTTTATCTTCAATAACAATGCCCTTTATTAATTTATTATTTCTAATCATAATTCCCATTATTTCTGCACATAGTAGGAACAAGTAAGGTGAAATTGGGTCACTTTGCCTACAACCTCGTCCCATTTGGAAAAATTCAGAAAAAATACCATTTTGAATAACACATAACTTAGGTTCTCTAAACAAAATCTTTATCCATTTTAAAAAATTCTCACCAAAATGAAAAAATCTGAGTACTTTAAAAATAAATCTCCAAGAAATAGAGTCAAATGCTTTCTCAAAGTCAGTCAATAAAACAAGACCTGAATGATCATTCTCTTTACAATAATGTATGATGTCATATAATAACCTTGAGTTTTCACCAATATATCTACCAGCAAGAAACTCTTTTTGATTTTCATGTATTACTTTTGACAGAATTGGTTTCATTCGATTTGCTAAGACACTAGATAAGAGTTTATATGTAATGTTCAATAATGTAATTGGTCGCCAATTTTTTAATTGTTCCCTTGGCTTATTGCCTTTTGGTAGAATAGAAATAATTCCAAGCATCTGAGTATAAGATAATTGACCTACTTCATAGCTGTAATTAAAGGATTTGAGAATATATGAATTAATATCTGTCCAAAAAAAATTGAAAAATTCTGCTGTAAAACCATCAGTTCCAGGTGTTTTGTCGTTCTTAAAGGAGAAATGATAAACTCCTGGATTTCATTTGTACAAAATATTTTTGACAGATGTGGTTTATCAAATATATGGTATGAGCAATATTTCTATAATGTAGAATGGATAACTGCTACAGTCAAACAAAGATTAAAAGATCAATATATTCAAAAGTGGAATAGTGAAGTTCAAGAATCTTCAAAAAGTTTAAATTATAGAATTTTTAAAACCAATTTTGAGTGCGAAAAATATTTAACACTGTTATCATGTAAATTTAGAAAAACTTTAGTTAAATTTAGAACCACAAACCACCACCTTCCAATTGAAACAGGTAGATGGAATGGTACTCAAAGAAGTGAAAGATTCTGTAGCTTATGTGATAGTAATCAAATAGGAGATGAATATCATTATATTTTAGAATGTAGTGCTTTAAATCAAGCGAGGAAAATTTTTTTGAACCCAAAATTTTGTTCTAAGCCAAACACTATGAAGTTTTGTGAAGTTATGTGCCAAAATGATGCTGATTCTTTGAAAAAATTATGTACATTTATTACTAAGATTAATAGTATGGTCTGTTCTCCCTAGCTAGCTTAATTAATCTCACCTTTTGCTTGACCCACTGTATTATATGTATATATGTTTTATACGTTTATGTACCTCATGTAACCATTTACATGGTTTTTGAGTGAATAAATTGAATAAAATTTTTAAGAGCTTGAAGTATTTCTTGTTTTGTAATTTCAGCATTTAAAATGTTCTTCATATCATTATTTATCTTAGGAACCTCAAAGTTTTGGAATAAGTCTTCAAGATTTACATCATCAAGCTCCTGATCTTTATTTTCATATAATTTTTTGTAAAAGTTCCTTACTTCTTCTAAGATATCTGCTTGCTTATTTACATATTTATCATCATTATTGATTAAATTGCTAATATTTTTATTGACATAATTTCTTTTTTCTAAGGCACAAAAATATTTTGTAGGTTTCTCCCCATCTTCTATCCATTTACAATGACTTCTTAACAATAGCCCCTTCAATTCATATTTTCTAATTTCCTCTAATTCTGTCTCAAGGTCACTTATCATATCTAGATAAATTGACAAAGGGTAATTATTATACATATCATGTAAAATTCTAAGTTGATTTCCAATCTTTGCTTTATGATCCCTCCTTTCTCGGGTCACATTTGCAGATAATTGTATTGTCATATCCCTTATTTTCATTAATAGAACATCAAGAAAAAGATTACCTGGTATTCCTAACATTGATTCATCAATACGATATTCATTATCTGTTTCCCTTATAATTTTTTTAACATTTGTCACAAATTCTTTGTTTCTCAATAAGGAATTGTTAAAACGCCAGAATCCCTTTCCACGTTTAAATTCATTAATAGTAATATCTAATTCTATGATAGAGTGATCAGTCCTATAGCCTGGCATCATGTGAACATCATTTATAATTGATAAGAGTTCCTCTGATACTAAAAAAAAGTCAAGTCTAGCCTGTTTTACTGGGTTCTTCCTACTCCATGTATATTTTTTAGCATCTGGGTTTTTTATTCTCCAAGGATCTACTAAATTGAATTTTGA